CCATGGCAGGGCTGAGGTTCTGGGGGCTGAGGACAGCCAGTCTTGAGAGCTGTCACTCTGGCACACTTAGCAGGACTGACTTCACATGGAGCTGTCTTGCTGAACCAGCCTGTAGCAGTGTGGAGCTGACAGTCTGCAGGGAGGGGCACCACCCAGCTCTCCCAACCCATCACTCTCTTGTCTTGGAGCAGCCCTTGCAGCTTTGCCCCAGCACAGCTAGGCAGCTGCATTACATGGGGGGTGAGTTTATAACAGAGACTTTCACCTGTAATCAGTGGGGCTGACAACAGCCACTGTGGACCAGCAGGAAGGGTGGGGAATGACTCTGCGCCTTCAAAAGGGGTGGGGCCTGAGGGTGGAAGGGGCAGGACCAAGGGCAGTCAGTCCCTAGTGCTGCCCAGATTGCAGAACTTCCCTACCTCCAGCAGCAGTTCAAAGGAACCCGGGGCAACTGCCCCCTTTGAATCTCTGGACTACTGGGCAATTGCCCCCTTTATTCCCCCACCTGCCCCCCATCAGTGGGCATGCTTGTAACCTAAGCAGAATTTTAGCTGCTGTCTAGATGCAAAGATCAGTGCCCTGCCTCGCCTCACCTCCCCTTCGCCCCCCCGCCTTCCAGGCCCCACCCAGATGAAGATACAGACATCACAAAACTCATTCACTCTTACAAATAGATTAGCCTCCTTTTCCTGTTCTGCAGCTCTTACCCGTCTGAAGACCAGTGGTAGCCAGGGCTTCCGGACTCCGCAGATTGTGAGTACACCTCCACTTTCTCAGCTACCATGAAGGCAGAGTAGAAGCCCACTCCAAACTGGCCAATGATCTTACTACTGGCCTCTGCCTGGCTTTGCAGGGCATCTAAAAATGCCTGTAAGGACAATGAGTACCAGGTATATTGGACTGCAAGTCCACAGATCCTCAACTACTGCTGGAAGGCTGCAGCATTCTCCCATACCCCCACTGCTGCTCTTCCCACATGCCCCTATTCAGCCTGGTGCTACGTTTGCTCTGAGAGAGCCTGGCACCTTGGTACATTCCTTTCCAAGGAGTCCCCTCCGCTTCTGCTACTTTGGAGTGGTCAGCACTCTGGGGGCTGAGCTCACCCTTGCGGGGGCAGCACATGTGGCAAGGGGGCCAGTGACTTGCTCCTACACAGCAATGTCGTAAGGGAGGGGCAGTGATTGCAGCTTTGGACCAGGAAAGTGCTGCTGAGGGCAGTGCTGGCTGTGACAGGTGCAACAGAGGAAAGAGAATGGGGTGTGATTGCTCAGTTGCAGGAAATGAAAAAACCTGGCAAATACATGCACCAGCAAACAGCTGTGCCCATCCCACCTCGCCAGTAACTGTGCTGCCACATGTGGCACGACGCTGAGATCATGATGGCAGAGAGCTTGTGGATCTGCATCAGGATGCCTTGGGGGAGAGGAGGGGGAGTTGGCTTTAACAAAGCGGCTCAGCCTGATGCACCTTGACTATATAAAGAACCTGGCTATACAGAATATAGGACACAAGTAGAGTCTTGCAAATCCATAGATATCTACTTTATATCCGTGAATATCGGCAGCACATATTTACTGATACAGATGCGGATACAATATAGGCTCTATACATAAGGGACCCCCTGGCAAATGTGGCCTTGATCCGTCAGTGAGAGGAAAACAGTTCTTTAGGGTTATCCTGGTACCAATGACCACACACACCATAGGTCCGGAACAATGAGGCTGGTTGGATGGCTTCATCTCCTAACAGGTCCCCTTCACAACAGAGCCTCAGGAGATGCAGGATGGGGGACCCTCAGTGAAATGAAAATGGCCATGAGGACAAAACAACGCTCTTACCTTTGAGCCAGATCGAGCAATGGTGCCGAGATTAGATGCAAGCTCCTCCTGGGTCATTCCAATGCCAGTATCCTGCAGGGAACATGAGAGAAGCTGAGGAACCAGGGCAGTGCGTTTCCACAGCAGACAGGACACAGAACGGACTCAGGTACCACTACCATCAGGGGCTGTCGGTTAATAAAACGAAAGAGGAGTTTCCCCCACAATGAATGGTTCCCCTTCCCCAGGCCAGGGCAAGGGACTCAGGGAATGCAGGGTTCTAAGGTGCAGAAACCATGTAGTTACAGTAGTTACAAACCATGTTAGCAGAATGCACAGAGTAGACACACAACTGCACTAAGGGTATGTCTAGACTACATACCTCTGCTGACTGAGGCATGTTAATTAGACATACTGACATAGTCAATGAAGCGGGGATTTAAATATCCCCCGCTTCATTAGAATAAAAATGGCTGCCGCTTTGTACCAGCTCAGCTGCTTTTTGGCACGAAGTGGCAGTCAAGATGGGGATCGGTCGGCAAGGAAAGCCTTTGCCGACTGATCCCTTATGCCTCGTGCAACGAGGTTTATAGGATCGGTTGGCAAAGGCTTTCCTTGCTGGCCGATCCCCGTGTTGATTGCCGCCTCGTGCCGACAAACAGCTGAGCCAGCACAACGCAGCGGCCATTTTTATTCTAATGAAGCAGGGGATATTTAAATCCCTGCTTCATTGACTATGTCGGTACATCTAATTTACAGGCCTTGGTCTGCAGAGGCATGTAGTCTACACATACCCTAAGAGAGAAACTCTATCCTCAGTAACTGAATACTCTGTTATCACAGCAGTGCCTACTGGCCCTGACCAAGGGGGCCCCATGGAGCTAAAGGCTTGTACAGATGCTTAATGAAGAACAGTCCCTGTTCCTAAGGAGAGAAGATAGACCAAGTGTGGGAGAAAGGAAGGCTAATTCCCATTGTACAGGCAGGGAAAAGTCTGAAGACCAGACCCAAGGGTGTCTGGGACAGAGCAAGCATTTGAACCCAGATCTCACAAGCCTCAGCCAGTTCAGTAGCTTGTCTACCAGACCATCCATCCTCACAGTGGGTGCTACCATGAACCAGCTCTTTTTTATTCTCTTTACCACCTTCGCTAACTCAAAGCTACCTTCTGCAAAACTCCACTGCCAAGAATGCTGGTAGCATGCCGAAATCCAGGCTGGAGAGCACTCGCATCTTGGCTTCAACACAGACTGTCGAGCAGGCCAGGAGTTGGCTACTACACGGACAATACATGGACTTGCTATGTAGGCCAAGCTTTGAATGCTGGCGTATGGCAGCATGAAATGTGTTAGTCCATTGTTAGATATTTTTATCCACTTCAGTCTTTTGTATTTACACTCCCATTTATCGCAACAAACAACTCGCTCCTTGGCATCCTTGCATGGCCATCTCTCAGTCAGGTAGCAGTAAGAAAGGGCTTGTTTGCTTTGACTGAGCTTTAGTTATCCCTGTGGCTTCTTAGGATAACTGAGGCAACATAGCAAAAATCCCAACTCAGAAATGGCTAACCCGTAACACAGGGGTCCAATCCACTGTGAATAACACCTCCTCCCTCCTGCTCTGCAAGAGTCCCCCAGAACCCTTCCATGTTGGGTTTCCTTTTAAGATGCTGCTTTTGAACTCATTTCCTTTCAGACCTTCCACAGAAACAAAGAGCAAGCTAATGCCATCAGAGTGGTGAGAAAATGGGCTTGGTGTCAAACCTGAGTTTCCCACAGTGCAGCATCACCAGCTGCATTGCAAAGGGCCAAGTGAACTCACTCCTATACTCTCTCAGTCCCTCTGGTTAAGCACAATGGCACATGAGCTGTTTTAGTGCCACAGTAAACTAAGGTTTTTGTCCAAAGGAGGGTTTTGAGTCACCTACCATCACCAAGCACAAATTACTACATGGGAAAACCAGAAGCAAAACAGGATCTGATTTCACAGGCTCTTGTCAAGAGTCAGGATACAGGCCCCCAAATGCCAGCAAAATGAACAGCATGAGCAGTGGTCTCCCTGAAATCCAGCCCCACTGACGTCAGCTACTTTCCACCCCAGCTAGCTATTTCCTCACCATGTAGGTTTCTTATTAACTAGTAAGACAAAATGTCATAATTAATGCTGACAACGCACAACTATTTTTAGATCAGCGTTTATTTCCAACGTATGATCAAAATATCTTCAAGTGTGCACGAGATACTGGCTAATAATATACATCTTGGTTACTGGTGAGGTGCTTCCGCTGCATCCACAGAGCTTCCCCTTGGGACACCTTTCATCTTATTAAAGATGGCAGCCCAATCAGTCACCTTAAGAATGTGAAATGAATTAGACGCTAGGTAGGGTCTCAATAGCAGGGTTTGTACAGCCAGAAAAAACAAACAGCAAATGGCAAAACCTCAGGAATCTGACAAAAACGTCCCTGCCCCCAAGCCAGAAAGAAAAGTTTTCAGCATCTGGTTCAGGCTTTGTTCATTCCAGACCCCTGAACAGAGCTCTGGGCTCCTCTGCTCCACTTCTATTTATAGCATAGCACGTCATTCCCAAATTCCTATACATAAAAAAAATCCCTGCTCGCTGAATGTAATTGGCCGTTATTGAACCTCTGCCAAACTCACTGCAAAATGCTTAAGGAAAATTCCTGGAGACGGGTTTGAACGGAATGAAACACAACTGCAGTGAAGACATCTTTCAGTTCAAACTAACTGCTCCCCAAACTGCTCTGAAGCAAGCTGCTATAGGGAAATGGGAAAGGTATTTGTACATGGCTGGCTAAAGCTTCCAGCAAAATGATATTCCACATTGCAGCAAAATACCTGGACTGACAGAAATAAAACATGATCAGCTTAAAAACTTCTCTTTCAGTGCACAGGTTCTCTGACAGCTGCAGCTTTCTCTTTACCTCTCCCCTTTTGTCACCGACAGCACTGCTCCCAGCCAGCCAGCAAGCTCTCTAATCAACAAGCAACACTCTTGGCAATGATGTCCCTCAGCAAAGAACACTCCAGGTTTGGAAGGTACAACAAATCTCCAAGGAGAAGGAGAGGGGTAAGCAGGAAAGGGAATTCCAAAGAATAGCCTATCCACGGTGAGTTGGGGTTGATTAAAGAGGCCATAAAATCAAAAACCCAATATTGACTGGGAACATGTTAACTCATGGTGTGATACAAAGATAAAGTTTTAGAACATTAACAACTGCTTGTAGGAGGCATTCTGAATCTAGTCCTAAGTGAAGCACAGGATCTGGTGTAAGAGATGAATATATCTGAACTGCTTAGTAACTGCAACAGTAATGTAATTAAATTTAACATCTTTACAGGAGGGAAAATACCAAAGAAACCCACCATGGTAGCATTTATCTTCAAAAGAGGAACTAAACAAAAATTAGGCTAGTTAAACGGAAATCAAAAGGAACAGTCAGAAGAGTGAAATGCCTGTAAGCTCCATGGAAACTTTAAAAAAAATTATGATAGATGTCCAAATTATATGAATACCTCTAAAACAAAAGTAGCAAGAGGATCACAAAAATGTTCCATGGATAATCAATATAGTAAAAGAGGCAATTAGAGAAAGAGACATTTTCTAAAAAGCGGAGGTCAAATTCTACTGAGGAAAAGAGAAAGGAGCATAAACTCTAGCACGAATAAAAGCATGACCAGACAGGCCAAAAAAGAATCTGAAGAGCATCTAGCAGAAAACACAAAAACAGCAATTAAAAAAAAAAGTACATCAGAAGCAGAAAGCCTGCTAAACAATCAGTGCAGCCACTGGACAGGCAAGGTGCTAAAGGAGCACTCCGGGAAGAAAAGGCTGTTTTAGAGAAGCTAGAAGAATTCTCTGCATTGGTCTTCACTGCAGAGGATGTGAGGAAATTCCCATACCTAAGTCATTCTTCCCAGGTGATAAATCTGAGGAACTGTCCCCAGACTGAGGTGTCAGAGAAGGTTTTGGAACAAATTGATAAAAAAAAACAGTAATAAGCCATCGGGACCAGATAGTATGCATGCAAAAGTTCTTAAGGAATTCAAATATGAAACTGCAAAGACAGGATACTAGATGGGAAGGGCTCTGAGTTACCTGGGAAAGAATTTTCTGTAGTGTCTGCCTGGTGGGTCTTTCCCACATGCTTAGTGTCTAACTGATCATCATATTTGGGGTTATGAAGAAACTGGTGGTGGTGGGGGGATGGAAAATTCATCCTCCTCTAGAGAATGGGTCACAGGTCACTTTCAGGTTTAAACTAATGTAAATGGTAAATTCTCTGTAACTTGAAGTCTTTTAACTATTAGTTGAGGACTTCAGTAATTTAGCCTCCAGTCTATTTCAGGTGTGCGTGTGTGAGATTCTGTGGCCTGAACTGTGCAGGAGGTCAGACTGATCTTAAAGTCTATGAGAACTACTAACAGTGATATGTAACATTAGCCTCTGTCCCAGAGGACTGACAGATAGCAAATGAAATGCTGATCTTTTAAAAAAGGCTCCAGAGGCCATACCTTGGCAATTACAAGCCAATAACTTCACTACCAGACAAACTGGTTAAGGCTATAATAAAGAACAGAATCATCAGACTCATAGATGCACATGATTTGTTGGGGAAGAATCAACGTGGATTTGGTAAAGAGAAATCATGCCTCATCATCTGATTAGAATTCTTTGAGAGGGATCAACAAATACTTGGATAAGCGTGATCCAGTGGATATAGGGTACTTGGATTTCAGCAAGTCATTGACAAGGTCCCTCACACCAAAGACTCTTAAGCAAAGTAGGCAGTCAGAAGGAAAGAGGGAAGGTCCTCTCATGGATCAGTAACTGCTTAAAATATAAGAAAAAGAGGGGTGGAACAAATGAAGTTTTCACAGTGAAGAGGGGTAAACCGCAGTGTCCCCGAGGGATCTGTTCTGGGAACAGTGCTGTTCAACATATTCAAAAATGAGCTGGAAAGAGGTAAACGGTGAGGTGGAAAAATTTTCAGACAATACAAAACTAATCAAGATAATTAAGTACAAAGCAGACTGTGAAAAGTCACAAAGAACAAAATGGCAGATAAAATTCAATATTGATAAGGGCAAAGTAATGTACATTGGAGAACAATCCCAACCAATCTTCCCTCTAATTTTTCATATGCATGTGCAGAATGAATTTTGTTATGTGGTGGTGATGTGTGGTGGGAATGGGGCTCAGGCTCCGAGTTGGGGCAGAAGGGGTAGGGGTGAGGGCTCTCACTGAGAGTGAAGGCTGTGGGGTGGGTCTAGGGATGAGAGATTTGGAGTGCAGTTTGCCCTGGGACTGTGGCAGGAAGAGAGGACTTCCCCAAGTCCTCTCTCCCAGCAACAGGTCTGGGGCTATGGGAGAGGCATGTTTCCCCTACACACACAGTCCTGAGCACTATGTACAGAAAATGATGGGGTCTAAATTAGTTATCAGTCAACACAGACATCTTGGAGTCATGGTGGACAGTTCTCTGAAAACACTTGTTAGAAGTGCAGCAGCAGTCAAAAAAGTTAATGTTAGGAACCATTAGGAAAGGTCTAGATAAAACAGAAAATATCATAACATCGCTATGGAAATCCATAGTACGCCCACACCCTTGAATACTTCAAGCAGTTCTGGTCACCCATTCTCAAAAAAATACATTAACCAGGAGATCTTACCATGATCAAAAAGGAGTCTCTCAAAAAGTGGAAACTTGGTCAAATTCCAAAGGATGAATCTAAGCAAACAATGCCAGTATGCAGGGGCAAGATTAGAAAGGCAAAGGCACAAAATGAGCTCAAACTAGCTAAAGATATAATGGGTAACAAGACAACATTCTACAGCTATATTAAAAGCAGGAAGATGACCAAGAATAGAGTAGGCCCTTTGCTTAGTGAAGAGGGAGAAACAACAGGAAATTTGGAAATGGCAGAGGTGCTTAATGACTTCTTTTTTTCGGTTTTCACCAAGAAGATTGATGGTGATGAGATGCCCAACATAGTGAACGCTTGTGGAAATGGCGTAGGTTTAGAAACTAAAATAGGAAAAGAACAAGTTAAAAATTTCTTAGAAAAGTTAGATGTCTTCAAGTCACTGGGGCCTATCCCACAAGACAGCTGTCATCCATGATTTAATACTAGATGAAGGGGCTGACCTGACTTGTATCACTGAAACCTGGCTGGGAGTGGAGGGAGGTGTTGACCTTTCCCGACTG